GTGCGTGAAGCGCGACGAGTTTTGCTCACCTTTGTGAAAGCTCAAAGTGAAAGATTTAAGCTTCGTTATAATAAACTTTCCATAGGTAATAACGCTTTCGTTTATGATCTTGTGAGCAAAACTGTTGTGCTTGAGATTGAATAACTATGCGTAGCACCTTCACGTATCTCTGAAAAACCCATTCCTGTTCTATTTACTAACATAAGAAGCCTCATGCACAAGCGCGATGAATTACAAAGTTTTATTGATTCCACCAGTGCTGATATGATTGTTATCACGGAAACATGGCTACATGATTCTATTGATGACAGAGAACTTTTTGACTGCGTTCCATCTTTTAACATTTATCGTTGCGATAGGATTGGTCGGCGCGGAGGAGGCGTTTTGATAGGAATCAGAAAGACCATCACATCTGCTTTAGTTAACATAGCCACTAACCTCGAATTGCTTTTTATATGTATAAATACCAAAGAGTCGAGCCATCTTGTCGGAGTGTGCTACCGCCCGCCGAATTGCGATGTCTCTTTTGTTGATGCGCTGCATGATGCGCTTGCCGGGCTCGTTGCCAATTATCCCAATGCATCCATCACACTTTTCGGTGACTTTAATTTTCCTACCATTGACTGGACTAATCCTCCTCTGCTACAAAGATCAGAACCGGGACGGTCTCTTGAGTTGTGCCTTGAATTTAATCTTACCCAACTAATTAAAAGTCCTACCAGAATTACCACGGATTGTTGCGCTATTTTAGACCTTCTTTTGACTACCCTCCCAGACGTGTTTTCAGATATATTATGCCTCGGTGGCCTAAGCGACCATAAGCTTGTTCGCCTCCATGCCATGTTCCCAGTGCCTACTAATGTCACTTTACGAAAAGTTATCAGAAATTACGCAAAGGGTAACTATGATGCAATTAATGCTAATCTGACAGTGTTCTTTCAAGATTTTCTTTTCGATTTTTCTTCTCGTACTGTGGAACACAACTGGCTACTGTTTAAAAATACAATGCTTGACCTAGTTGAAAAATTTGTTCCCGTCATCAGTATAAAAACAAATCATCCTGCGCCCTGTTTTAACCGGGACCTAAAGCTAATACTAAATAAAAAAAAAAGCGTCGCTTCAGGAAAGCCAAGCGAAGCCGCTCCGATTCTGACTGGGCGAGTTATTTGGAGTGCCATCGTTTGTACAAGGGGAAGAGTCGGAAAGCCCGTAGAAAATATTTTACTCAAGATTTGCCGTCACTTCTCTTGAATAACCCAAGAAAATTTTGGAAGGTGGTTTATCCAAAAGCTAATGCCGCACTTCACTTAACTGATAACGGAAACATTGTATCTGAGGAAGGGTGTGCTTCGCTGTTGGATATGACTTTTGGTGCCGTGTTTACTCAGGAACCACTGGGGGCAATCCCTTCCTTTACTTCGTATTTAAGCGATAACATGCCCAACGTAAACATTACACCGGACGGTGTTCTTAACCTTATTAACAGCTCTAAACTTTCTACATCCGCTGGTGAAGACGGCATTAGCTCGAAATTACTGAAGTGTACTAGGGACATTAGCTGTGTCTTACTATCCGAAATATGTTCCCAGTCATTGCTTGAGGGTAGGCTGCCCAATGATTGGAAAATCGGGCGGGTCGTTCCTGTCTTCAAAGGTGGTGATAAATTGTCTGCTAATGACTACGGGCCAACATCTGTAACCAGTGTTTCATGTAAATTACTTGAACATATAATCTATACTAACCATTTACTTTCACCTCATCAACATGGTTTTAGAAAAGGACTGTCTTGTGAGACACAGTTAGCTGGTTTCTTACACCATATTCACACTAATTTGGACAGCAATGAGGTTACTGATGCTATTTTTCTCGACTTTTTTAAGGCATTTGATCGCGTTCCACATCAGCGTTTGCTCTTGAAATTATCTGCACTAAATATAGACCCGCATGTATTTTAATGGATTAAATACTTTTTTACATAACACAACCCAGTACACTATCGGTAACAACCATCATTCAGATCCTGTTCCCATCACCTCCGGTATTCCACAGGGTAGTGTGCTGGGCCAGCTTCTTTTTTCTGTCTGCATTAACGATTTGCCTAACTCCTTAACCTCACAAATTCGTCTTTTCGCTGATGACTGCGTTACTTATCGTCGGATCAGTAACCCATCAGATTCTACTGCCCTTCAAGACGACTTACTAAATATCAGCTCATGGTGTACTAACTGGCTCATGCTTTTAAACTCTTCTAAATGCAAGCACGTTCGTTTCATTCGTCCTAATAATTTTTGTTCGTACCCCAGCCAATATCACATTCAAAATACCCCGTTGGAATTAGTCCAATCTTACAAATACCTAGGAGCTCACCTAACCTCGGATCTATCATGAAACATGCATATTAATTACATTCTTTCAAAAGCTAACCGTAGTCTCGGTTATTTAAAACGCAACCTTAATTCTGCCCCATCTTCTCTTAAACGACTAACATACGTCACGCTTGTTCGACCGATCCTGGAATACGCTTGCAGCATTTGGAACCCTCATTATCATTACTTAGCTGCCTCACTGGAAGCACTTCAAAACCGAGCCGTTCGTTTCCTTTGTTCTGATTACTCAGGTCATGCTAGTGTAACTAACCTTAAAACTCGTGCTGACCTTGATTCACTTAAGATACTGACATGGAAACAGCGCACCCTCAAAACAAGCACTCTAAGCTTTCATGCACACAAAAGAAAGAACCATTTACACAGCGCTGATTGACAACTCTATGTTATATTTACAATTTTTGTTTTCGTCTTGCTGTTTCCATGTCAGTCACGAACAACCAACTCGCCCGAACCTCCGTTTTAACGCGTAAGATACGCCGCAGGGTATCAAAGCTTTGTCTTCTGCATAAAATATACTACTCACGATCACCTCACTCATCACTTCTCTCTCAACCGTTTTATGTTTCAGCCCGCATCGAAAACTCTCGTAAGATTAAACTTATTTCTTGTAAGTCATCCTTGTTTTTCTGCTCGTTTTTGCCATCCGCCATTGCTGACTGGAACGACTTGCCCGATAACATTGTTTGTCAACGTGATCAAGTTCTTTTTCGACAAGACTTGACTACTTTTTGGGACCCTTGCGTCATCTCTACTTAAGTGTGGTTGATTTTGTTGTTTTTGTGCTCTATACTTTTGATTTATTCTGCTTTGTAACCCCCCCCCCCCCCCCCTTACATGATGCCCCTTGAGGGCGCGTAAGTATTTAAATAAATAAATAAATATTATCCGAGCTCGCAATTGTTCCAGCACACACCCTCAGCTTCTGTTAGACACGACAGATGTGCCAGCGTTCGACGTAAACTCGGCGTAGCTTGTAGCGAAAACGAATGCTGCCTCAACCGTCGGCGACGTGTCGGATTGGATCACAAGCATCGTGCCCAAAACTGACGACCACCAATGTTGCTTAAAAGGATACTGAACCAAACATTTCACTGTCCCTATTAAGGGGCGCACGATCTTTCCACGGGCCACCAGCCGCCGGTATCCGCGAGCCCACGCAACGAAATCGACATCGTAATCCTCCATTTTAGATGATAGTGAAACGTATGGTATCCAGGCAAAAGGAAAATAAAGATCGGCTTTTCATCCCAACAGGTGAAAGCTACGTGCTTGTTAGACCAATTAATCGCTTACCTTTTACACCAGACCTCACCGTGGAGATGAAACGCCTGTCTTTATACTCTTTTTCAATGGAGCCCATACGTTTCACTGGGGGACTATGACGTCAAGGGGGGCTGTGACGTCCACGGGGGACTATGACGTCAATTTCGTTGCGTCTACTCTCGCACACCGGCTGCTGCTGGCTCGTGGAGAGATCGTACGGCACTTATTATGGAGACTGTAATGTTTGGTTCACCATCCCTTTAATGGACTTTTGAAAACGGTCCATGCGGTCATAAATACAATATGCAATGTTGTGTGTTTATATTTGCTCATAAAAAAACGTACACTCCTACAATAAATCTTTAAGCAAATAAAAGATGTTGTATAGACGCTTTGCAGCGGCTGTGCATCGGCACCGCCATAACCGACCTGCAGCTTTTGTTTCCTCTTATTTTGATCACTTCGCTCCGTTATTACCACAACAAGACAGGTTATTGCCATTTGCCATCCGACTGTGCTCTTCTCCTTATCATTGGCCTTTGTGGAGGCTTGTCGAAACCCGCTTCAGTGGCTTGGTATCTCGTTAAGACAAGGTAAGGTCACAAATGGCGGCTGTACTCGTGCGCGTGTGTAAAACGTCTATATGAAAAAATCAGTCCCAAATTGGCTGGATATTCAAAACCTTCCATCATTTAAATGTTGGTAACATATTTTATTTTTAAAATGTCATATTGAATTTGTAGTCAATAAAACGAACGAACTTCTAGCTTTCCGGTGAGGTCATGGTCATTATCATACCTTAAAGTTTTTCAAACTATTTTAAATAACATCAAACAGACACTTTAACTCTTTTTTTAAATCATTGAACAATAGTAATTTTATTTCAATTCAGTAAGCATAAGAAATGTTTTTGAGAGTTTTACAGAAGAGCCCAGTGAAGTATTTTGAGAAGTGACAAAATAGTGAGTGGTTAAGCATCGAAGACACGTGTGCCCCGCCCCTTCAATGATTCTTGGCGAAGTTGGGCACTTTTTCAATGTGATCAATTTAAGATATTCTAACGACCGCAACGAAAGCTGCCGTTTCGTCAGTTTTCGCCTCGGTCGATGGTTAATACCTCGAAAATAAGATAATCCGCCAAGCTTGCTGTTTGCGCTGTCTTTCATTTCAAGAACACTCCTAAAACATATATATTTTTGTCAAAATCAAGAAATATATCTCAAAAATTTGTTTGAACTGAGATTAAAACGCCTATATAGTATATATAAATGGGCCCCTGAAGTTTTTTGGTTCATGTAGTTACTATACTACTTCAACTTCAAACACACGCACACGCAACCTAAAACTTACCTCATTCTTCGTCTGATAAGCCTTTGGTTCGAATGCATTGACGTCATCCATGTGCTTGATCCAAAGATGACTCTGAAAAATTATCAATTTTAACTTAACGCGATCCACTCTAACACAGCTCTCGCGCTGTCTACCTGGACAGTGAAGGTAATGATTATTAATATTGCGCATATGATCTCGCTTAGATGCTCAACAATATATCAACAGTAATATCCGGATTCGCAGCAGAGAAGCAAAGCTGAGAGCTTACTTCGCTAACGTGCAATAGTCATGTTGCTTTCTTGTTTCTTTTTTTTTTCAGTTGGCCGGTCGTAGGTGGTGGTACCTGAACACGTCCTTGGTGACTTCACTGATGTCACACGGCCGAGAGAGTGACAATGTGATACTCCGTTACTCCTTTCCACTTTTCCCACGCTTCCTCCTCTTCCTCCTTCTACCGTGTCCACCGCTGCCTGTTTCCTCCTCCCCCATGGTGAGGAGGATCTTCTGCCTTGCAGAATCTCGAGTCTGGCCGTCGGCCAGACTCGAGATTCTGCTTCATTGTGAGCCTGCTTCATTGTGAGCTTCATTGTGAGCCTGGCTTACGGCGCTGTTTTTGCGCAATTTTTGAAATCGGCTGAAAAATGCGAACACTGATCGTATATCTAAGAAAATAATTAACGTGTCACAAATTATTTAACTTGATCTGGCCTCTAATAATAATTGCCATCAATACTGCGATTGCGGAAGTACCCATAAAAGCAAAACTTAAAATGCTCATCAGCGTGTTTGAGTTAATTAGCGTTCCGATCATGATGACTGCCTTCGCCCATAATGTCCGCAAAGCCCCATACACACAAATTGAAGACCGCATCCACATACCTAGCTGTGACCCTTTTTGTAAAATTATTTTTCATAAAAAAAACGAAAGAAGTCTCCCTGTATACCTGAAGAAGGCGTGAATCCGCGCTACTTCCATTTTACATAACTATCCGGCCTGTCAATACCGCGGATATGTTTCTATTCATATGCCCCCTTTCCAAATAACTTAGAAATCTAATAAAACAAGATACAAAAAGAACTATTCATGTGCTAAATTTCTTAAACAAATGCTTTCAAAACAAGAACTTCGACAGTTGTTTTGTTTCAGATATATTGAAAATAATCGAATTTTCGTATTACTTATCAGAGATGCATTGTATTATCTCTCAATTAAAATTAGCTATTGAGAAAACGAGAAATGGAGGTAACACCCAAATATTCAAACTTTTCCCTGCGCTCCCTATTCTGTGATGCAACGAACTGCATAACTTGCAAGTCGACAAGACAGTTCAAAAATGTTTTTTACGCACTTTTTTCTTTTGCTTACGCGAGCTTTACCAGCATTCATTTCATAGAATCCAAATTGTTGTGAGTCGTCGAAGTCAAGCTGTAATGCCCCCCCCCCCCCCCCCCGCTTCCGTATTACCGCACATTACATCATCTGACATTACATTTTCAGTGTTGCTAGTAAATTTTAGCTTCTCAGACCAAATTTGACACCTCGATAACTTCAAGGAAGAAAATAGTATTGTGACTTTAATTTAGGTTAGTTTAGGTTAATAGTTCAGACGTGTTTATTAACGTGTTGAACAAATTTTGAGTCAAATCAGTGAATATACAAATTTAAGCTTTAATAAATAAAAAAAAAACTTTAGCCGAACACCGATCTTGTGGTATCTGTTGTTGTGATTTAGTGTAATTATTTTGCTGAAGATTCAGTATCTTGTGACAAATATTCCAAACACACAAGTTTCAGTCTACGTACCTCAATCCATTCCAGCCTCATTTCCACATCGCAAAAAGGGCAAAGCACCCGCAGGTGTTTTGCCTCATAGTTGATAGAGCGCGGAACATCAAGAAGCTGAAAATATATTTGTTTTTGTTTTTATTACAGTCAAACCTTAGTCAGGAATTTTCTTATATTGGGTAAATTAGAAATAAAAAATAAATATGTTTATTCTTTAACGCACGAAAACTGTAGAATGAGTAGCAAAACAAGATAACAGACAACAAGGAAAAAAACATATCCAATGCATATTACGCCTAGAAAATACAATCTATACAAAGCATTTTTTACTGTTTTGTTTTTGAAGAGCATGAGAAAGCTACAAAGGTATGGTTTTTGCAAATAAGTTATACGGCCGGAGGAACACTATGTGTTCGGCTAATCTTTTCAATAAGTCGGAAAATTTATTAAAATTCGTTAATGAACTTTTAGTTAGTGAAAATAGACATATGCTACCATAGAAACTTACTGAGCGTCATCAAAAACCACTAAATCAACTCTTTTTGGAATGACTTGAAGCTCGTGGAAAAGTCGGGGGAGCACCAAAGTTACCTGCTGCACGAGTCGTAACTTTAGTGTGCCCACAACTTCAAGTCGAGCTATAAAGAGTTGATGTAGTGGCTTCCGAAGATACTCAGCAGGTTTCTAATTGAAACCATATGTTTGATTTAACTAACTGAAACGTTAATTAAAAAATTGAATTGATTAGCCGAATTATCGCAGAGATGATCCACGCCGATAATGTCCCCCTGGCGTATAATTCATTTGCAAAAACCATATCTTCGTAGCTTTCTCAATCTCTTTTTAAAGAATCCGTAAAGAAGAAAAGCAGCTGTACATAATACCGCTGTACCAAAGGCAAAAGGCTCAGAGCAGGTAACATATTAACTTATCGCAAATAGCTGAACAAATAAGATACACTGATGCTTCAAAACATGGCTAAATCCAGTTTGCCGGCCGTTTTATTTGCCAAGACGTGCACTCCCTAATATTTTTTATGAAGAAGTTGAAACCTGAAATATGACTCTTGCGATGTATGCTATGTTGTGACCAATTGAATTCACCTATTCGTATAGCCAGGTGTTAGAACATTACCCCGCATGAAATTTTACATCTCTTAGTTGTTTCCTCCAATCACAAAGGACGGCGCTCGCCTCAATCATCGAACAGAAAGTTCCTAGCAAGTGCAACTTACAAATTCCACAGCGGATATATTCGGGAAGAAGAGTTAAAGGAGTGGTGAAGCGATTTTTGAACCTTGGCCAATTTACTGCAGAAATTAATCTGCGTCACCTATGAAACGAAGAATAGAAAACCGCATTTTCTTACGCGCGCTAGTTTTTATTTAAAAATAATGAAACAAATCCAAGGTCAAAGTGCCTCTCAACTTTCACGTTGTCTTTCGAGTGACGTACACTCTGGGACCACCTGGCTTCCCGTTGGGTTCTTTCTTCAGAGACCCCACCCGCTTCCTCAGCGATTGTCGACTTTTCAAGAATTAGCATCGTCGAAGGTCGCGACGAGCGATCGACAGAAATGACGGTTCGCACCGGGGCTAACGGCGCGTGTAGCCGCGGAGGGGGACAGGTAATGTTGACTTCCGCGTCTCCCCCAAAGACGTGTCGGCCTAGCTCCCTAACCGCCACACGCGGCGGCCAATTGGCAAATATATTTTTATGTTCTTTTGCGATTACGTAGCGGAATGGCAATTTCTCGGGGCAATGTGACGCGGTTTTTGTCATTTGTGCCTAGATAAACAATACAAAATATGCGAACTGCAAATTATTTCAGCATTAAAATCGTTGCACTGATATTTCAGATGCATTATGTGAGGTTCTAATTTACGCCTAAAGTTGTTCTTATATAGGGTGGTTCAAGTCACCAGGCTCAATCTAAAATGGACCGTAAAAATCGACGCCTGCACGTAGCCATTCAAACCTTTTGACAAAGGTGGAGTTCACAGGTAGGTTTTTTTTTTGTAAAATTACAAAGCGTAGCACTGTTTCTGTAAAAAATAAAGCCAAGAAACTTGCCAGGGTCTACGGCGGGCAGCAACGAAGACCACAGGGGTCCAGTAGCGTGGTGTGTTTGGCGTTCGTAGCGATAGATGGCGCTACCTTCTAATCACGACGGCTAATCACCGTGGTTTATTAAAATGAATATGATATTTTTTTTAAATGTACCTTCGGTTAAAAAATGAATGCAAACAATAAAAGCAAAACTTAAAGTAAAAAAAAACGCGTCTGCATAACGGCGGCGCTTTTGCTGCCAACGAATTTCGTCTGCGTGTCGTCTGCTATCTTTCGCTGGTCGGCTGCGCCTTCAGACGCTGCTCCCGACGCCGTCTATCAATACGAACGGAAAACAGCCCGCTACTGGACTTGGTCGTCTGGGTCACCGCCCGGCGTAGACTCTGGCAAGTTTTTTGACCCAACTTTTTACTAAAAGAGAACTACGCTCTGTAATTTTACAAGAAAAACCGACCTGTGAAATACACCTTTGACGAAAAGTTTAGATGGCTACGTGCAGGCGTCTATTTTTACGGTCCATTTTTGAGCGAGCCTGGTGACTTGAGCCACCCTATATATACACACTTATTTTTCTGTCTTTGTCGGAATATGATTAGTTTATTCATATGTTTATTCAGGTTAGCCTGCTGCTCAAAAAGTGCATTATCGTGAAGAGAGTGGTAAATGTACATTCTGGCAGAAGAAAATAAGAGGTATATTTGTACTAGCTCGTTTTTCAAACTGATGCAGTTGCATTGTTACTAAAAATGTTTATCTTAACAAAATTTTAGAAATAAATTCAGATGTCTTTATATACCCCGAAGGTTCGTTTGTATCGGTACATTTCATTCAGAAAATAATTGTTTATTTTTATATAATGGGGAGGAGACAAATGCATTGAAGAGAGAAACATCATCCCAATGTACACATTTAGAAACAATATCGCACAATATTTTATAAGTAAAAAAATGAAATTCTTGGCATTGGCTGTCTTTCTTCCACGAAATATCAAATAACTATGCTTACTTCTTTAGGGCTTGTGTGAACATCACATTTGTTGCAGTAATAACCTTGGCAATAATATTTGCATCCCAGGCAGAGTTGATGCTTCAAGCAACGAAGATAATATACTTCCTTTGGAATGCATTTGCAATGATCACATTCAGCCTTGTCTAGTACGTCACATGGAAACCTCAGGAAGCGGCCCTCAAGCCCCCAGAATCCTTTCACTTCACAAAATTCATCATGACGCCTGAAAGAAAAAGGAAGGTATTTAGCATTCTTAAAGATAATCACAAAACACATTTAAACAAATGTGATGTCTGGGTTGTGTGGCATTAAGGGCTATTTGAGTAACAGTAGTCTTTAATACAAAGACGTTTCGGAAATAGTAATATTTCAGTCACCGATATATTCGTTCCTTTGAATGTCATAAAAAGCGAGCAACAAACCGGAGGGAGTCAGAGAAACGATTTCACTTTACTTTCCTCGCCGACCCCACATTAGAGGTGGTGTGACATGCGCAAAAATAATCCTACAGTTTTCGCTTTGCCTTTCAAGAATGTAGTCCTTACGTTTAATTCTTACGAGCAGGAAGCTTGTCCAACCTTCGAACGTCGTATTCGCCATTTAAATGTAGTGTAATTGTGTCATAAATAGGGTTCCGTGTTTTCGGAGTTTATTTTTCGTCGAATTCGGAGGGTGTTTTTTCGGAGTTTATTTTTTACAGGGAATTTGAAGTTTTTGGGAGTTTATTTTTGTTTGATTCGCAATTCTCCAAAATTCGGAGTTTAATTACGCAGTGTTTTCTGTTAAAACAAAATAAAAAAATTAATATTATCCGCATGTAAACGTATGCCAGATAAAAAAAGTCCAACGCGCTTGTATCAATTAATATATCTTAGGCTGGATTTGGCGTTGGTGTTATTTCCATTGGCAATACTAATTTTCCCACGACAAAAGTTGCACACAAGTTTTGCTTCGATAAACATTGATACCTTAAAGTCAGTAAACTCCTGGAGGAACTGGCTGGGAAGCCGTGTTCATCCCATCCTATCCCATCAATCTACCCCGCGGCTGCACGACGTGTAGTGGCTAAAGACCAACCTACAAAATAATTCACCGTGTACTCCTTGCCACCCTTCCTCTTTTCTCCTCTTTCCTTAATACCTGGACGAAGAGGGAACTTCTTTTATAGCTGTATCTTAAGGCTGGTTAAGCCGAAAGCTTATCCAGCTTAAATATGCAGCAACAAAAAGTCTTTAGAATTGCTCTTAAGAAGAAAAGTGCTGCCTCTAAAAAGACATCGACATGCCCAAGGTGTAAGAAAGCACAAGGAAGTAACAATCTAGAAACTGACGATTCCGCGTCTAGAACGAGAAATATGACGAAAACACACTCGCAAAAATAAAGAGAATGTTGTCTGCTATAACGGCACTACACGCAAAAGTTGACACGGTGATGGAAATGAAGAACACTGTTGACGGAATCGAACGCTCGGTTTAGCTTTTGTCTGACCAGTACGATGTCTTGCTTACCCAAGTACAACAGCAAAACAAAGAAATATTTGAACTGAAGAAGAGTGTCGAAAATGTGGAATCAGGTGGACATACCGAAGTACAGTCGGGAGCAAAAGTTTGCGGGGCACAGGAGCCCGTGTCGAAATGCATCGCCGCGCCGCCCGACGGCGTGCAGCCGTGTTAAAAAGCCGCGGTTTGCGCATGCACGCCCTTCGTGCATGCCCCCGCCCACCCCCACCACCTTCTCTCCCCCCCGCAGTGCGGGTCACTCGTCAAATTACATTTCGCGTCAAACTCAGCCGCGTGCTAAACAACATTTTTTTTTTTTATTTCTTGCTATTTACGCTTTTCAGCGGCGTGTTATGACCATTTGCACTGAAAACAGCCATCTTTCCGAAGTTCGACAGCAATGATTCCAAGCTGTCTATTGGCCGGTGATAGGTAATAAAACGTTTATTAACCAACTCATCTTATAATTGCTCTGTATTCTGCGAAAATGCCGCCTCAGCCGCCACAAAGCCCGGTGACGAGGGGGCTGAAGCAAACAGCAGCATGACAGCCAGCGAAGCGCTAACTTGCGCCCCTGGCGCCGACTCCTGTTATCAGGAGTGCGTCAGAAAGGAACGAGCAAAAGAGACAGGATTGCGAGCAAAGGCGCGCACGCGCAAAGCGCGGTTAGCGCGGCTCCTTAATGCGGCGGCGCGCCGTCGGATGGCGCGGCGATGCATTTCGGCACGCGCTACCGTGGCCTGCTAACTTTTGCTCCCTATTGTACAACAACTCAGGCGTGAACTAAACGATCTACAACAGTACAGTAGACGACAAAACATCCAGGTACACGGTCTGGCGCCCTGCGAAAATGAGTACTTGCTGAATAAGTTAAATATACTCTCTGCACATCTCCAACTATTAAACCTGACCGAGCAAAATCTTGAAGCAGCACACAGACTCTCTCTTAAGTCTGACGATGTCAGTTATCTTAGTATGGTGTACATACCGAGTAACCAGAAACAAGTTGCTGCAAAATCCACAGTACTCATCTACGAGAATCTGACACCAAAAAAAAAAAAATTACATTTGAAGTTTAAGCACTAAAACGGTCGAAAAAAGGCAATCAATTGGCATGGCACAAAGAACGCAAAATGTTCGTGAGAATAGCGGCCGGTGAACGTCTTATTAGGATAGAACGCGAAGACCTGGAAGTGATAAGATAGACCAGCGCTGCACTCCAAGCTTTTTCCATCTTTATTTCTCTTTATTTTTAATAGAAAGTCCTACGGAACACGGATATTATACTAAAACTTCATTCAAAAATCTTGTTCAAGAAAACATTTCACGCAGCCACAGTATGTTATCTTCAATTTAAATACAAGAAGTATTGGAAACAAATGTGACGACATTGAAGAATTCCTTGACTGCCAAGACCACCGCTTCGATATTTTACCATTCACTGAAACGTGGCTTACCTTCGATTATCATATGCCTGAATGTAATGGTTAGAACCATTTCAGCATATTTCGGAGCGAAAAAAAAGGTGGGGGAGTATCTCTTTACTATAAAAGTAACCTGGTATTCAGTTTCATTAGCGAATATATTGTGTCTGTTCGAATGTTGAGTGCCTTCTTGTGAAGTGTCGTAATTACATTATAGCTATCGTATACCGACCGCCCTCTTGGTCCCCTATTGTATTTCTTAGATTCCTGGAAGCTATTGTTCAGTTTTCTTTTGATAGTAAATTACCTGTTATACTTGGTGATTTTAATATCAATCTGATGCTATCTGACTCATGGCAGTTGAATTTTCTATATCTTGTGCAATCAAATGATTTTGAAAATATTACAGATCGGCCTACTTCCGTTACGTCTGATACTGAGACTTTAAATGATTTGTGTATAATCAATGTAATGACTAACAACATTGTATACGGTGTAATAATAGTTGATTAATTGATCAATTACCCCTGTTTTGTTTCATGTGAAAACATTAGCTGCAATAAAACGAATACCAGTAGCCCTTACTATACAGATATAAACGACTATAGTATCGAACGCTTTGTTGCGCTTGTATCAAACAAAAACTGGAAATGCTATCTACAATGAGCCAAGCTCCATTACATCCTCTGATACGATATTGAAGAAAATAAAATATGCCTTTGAAAGAGCATTTTCCTTTAGCAAAGCCAAAAGGCATAAGAGGTCACGGAAACCCTGGATTACGGAATATCTTTTCAAACGAATAAATGAACGAAACGAGCTCTACGATGCATTTATAAGAACTAAAGACATCAATACATTGATTGAATACAAAAAGATACGGAACGAGTTAAACTGCGACATAAAAAAGTCTAGAGCAAACTATTCCAAAAGTAAATTCATCGCAAATCAACATAATCGAAAGAAAGTACAAAAAACAGCAAAAGAATTAATGTCCAACTTGAGTAGCACTATCCCCAGTGTCCTTAGAAGATATGATGTTGATTATTCCTGTAGAACCTTCGCAAATTTGTTTAATTCACATATTTTATATTCAGGCGATCCAACGTCATCCTCGTTCCATGAAAACGCTTTATACGTCAATACGTACGCCCACCAGTATCTATATTTCTATCACCAACCACGAAGACTGAAGTTTTTAACGTGATAAATTCATTAAAACAAACAGTGGCGCATGTGGTGATAATGAATTAAAAGTTAAACCTATAGAAATTAACAATTGCTCATATAATTAGTCTTTCTTTTTCTGCACTCTGGGATAAAATATTACGCACATGGGTATTTCCTCCGAGACTAAAGATCACCCGAGTATCAATGATACACAAAGGTGGACCAATTATTACTTTCAATAACTATACAGACCCATATCCATATTAGCAATATTCTCAAAAGTAAAAGAGACGATAATAAATTCCAGACTGTCCGATCATTTTAGCAAACACAATCTCCTTGCAAAACAGCAATATGGTTTTCAGGAAAGGAAATTTACTGAAGAAGCTTTACTGAATATTAAGCATAAAATTTTTTAAACCAAGCTCTATACATTAAGTTTATTTTTAGATTTCAAAAAAAAAGGAAAAAGGGAAATTCGATCAAGCACCAAATTAATTCTTAAAAAAGCTTTATAGTTATGGTGTAAGAGGTCTTGCACCACGACTCATTCAAAGTAATTGATCAGAACGTGTCCAATACACCACTCTTGGTTGCGAGAAATCGGATACCGGTAACATACATTATGGGGTTCCCGAAAGATCAATCCTCGAACCATATCTATTTCTGATACATTAATAATATTGTTAACGTACCACTACACCTGATAGTCCACTCTATGCAGATGACACAACTGTATTTTTTTCGAGTACGAACATATATCAGCTTGAAACATTAGCGAGCAACTGGGTGGTAGAGCTATGTAGTTGGCGTGCAATGAATTGGAATTAAGCGTTAAAAAGCAAAATAAATACTTAGAGCAAGAAATATAACTATTAATCGAAAACTAAACATTTGATTTACGAACACTGAAATTCGTTACAAAAAAAAAAAAAACCACAAGTTTCAAAGAGTATTCTTTCAAGAAAATATAAATTGGTCTTACCATATTGATCGGATTCGAACCGAAATTTTACGGGCAATCCGAATTATAAGTGGGCTAAAATATATTCTTCCGGTTTGGTTAAAGCGGTAGCTCTAATAAACTCTTGATCATTCTCGTTTAAGCTATTGTAGTTTAGTATGGGGTACATACTAAAGACATGTGTATCTCAGTTACTTCTATTGCAAAAAAGAGCAGTGCGGTCAATTGCCAATGTATCATATCCGGAATACACCCTCCCATATTTCATCAAATGCTCCCCTCTTACAGTAGAATCACACGCACAGAAATTGGCAATTTACATGTTACACAAAATTAAACTATACCCCGAGTTCCTGCAAGAAAATTATATCAACAGGGCATCTACATACACCTTCCGTCACACCAATTATCCACAAT